ATTTTGTACGGTAATTGGTTGGGTGGGAACAACGGGATTCCATGTCCTCGGTAACGATTTGGATGGAAATGGGAGAAGGCCACTTGCTCAGTAATGATTTGGATGGGTACGGTAACCGGAAATTATCACGATAACGTTACCAATTACCGCTCCCGTGGAAATCCCGCGGAAAAGTACCGCGGGAAAATTCCCAAGAGGAGCCTTGGGAAATATAGCACACACCAGAGGGAAGACACGCGGGATACAACGAATCACACATAACACACAAACAACCACGGCAGCGCAACCGGAACAAATCAGGGCACAGCAACGCAGGCACAAAACATCACCCTTTACAGCACACAACACCAACAAACAGGGGACACAAAACAAAAACGCTCTGCACAAGCGCTACGCATATGTTGGACAAAAAAAACGACCTTCTTGGACATGCCGTAGCTGAAGAACACGCCGGCGTTGTGCGCCATGGCCCCCCACAGCGGCGCCGCCGCCCCCGCGTACAAGCCCGAAACCCCCTCTCGCGCCATCGTCTTGCGGAAGCAGTCCACCATGCCGGAGAACTCCGGGTTAGTGCTGGACTGTGTCTGGAGCCGCACCTTGATGGTGTCCAGGGGGTGCCCTTTGGAACGATTGCAAGCNTCACCAAGCGCGAAGCGCCGTGAGATATTCGGCGAGTCGCATGAAGGGTGCGCTGCATCCTGCTAAGGGTGTTCGGCATCTTGTGCTTACTTCCTTGCGTACGGATGACAGCTGCGTATGACTTAATTTTTTGTCTGGTGCTTTCAATTCCAGAGACAGTTGTAAGCACCGTGCAACTGCCTCGAGGGTGCTTGACCATGTTTTGCATGCCGTTGCTGTTAGACCGTTCCACAACGTGTCATCGAGAGCACGGAGCATGTTCGAAAGGTGTAGGGCGGCAAAATTGTTTAACGAGATACTTCGACGTAAGCCATTGTCGGGCAGTAGGGGGGTTGTGGGGTACCGCTCGGAACGTTGGTACGTCAAGCCGGCCAGGCAAACACAGTAGTACAACAGCGTGGATGGTTGCACGCTACCAACAAGGAAGAGCTTTGCTCAATTGATCTGGTTTTAGGGCAACACTCTTCCTTTCCTGGCGACGTAGTACCTTAAAAGGCAGGCTTCAGCCTCCTTCGCGCCAACTGTGAATCATTCTCGAGCAACTCCTGTTCCCGGACATGCGTAAACACCTTGGGGAATCATTCGCCTCCTTCGGGTGCTGTACACGATGTGTGACCTGCGTACCACGAACCAACAACCAACCAGCCTGTCCCTGGTGCTCTAGCATAAAATACCACCAAAAACACTCAGCCGCGCCGCCTGGCGACGTTGATGCGTTGCGTGTATATTGTAGCAGATCCCAAGATTGGTTCGGGCAATGTCCGCTGTCCCTTGACGGCGGTAAAATTCGACAAGTATAGCACGCATATGTGTCGATGTACCTCTTCCACGTCCCCTGTATCTTAGAGCCTCCGACTCTCTGTACATGTGACTCCAGAACCGATGACTAACATACAAAACCCAAAGAAAAGCGCAAACGCACGACGCCCTTACGTGGCGGCATGTGTGTTCTGCAGAGGAAGGGAACTGAATGCCGCCCGTGGCAGGTCTCCATCAAATCAAAAGTCCAAATGAACGTCGTGCGCGCACAACGTCCGCGCACACAGCCGTGGTAAATGTCGCTTCTACGGATTGGTCTACGTATTATACAGCACTGGGTAGCCTAGGCTACAAGCAGTACACATACGGCATGATCATGCAATGGGATCACATGATGATGAAATGGGATCAATGTCAACGCGGTGTGCGACGACGTGCTCGTACCTAGAGCGCAAGATTTCCCCGTCCGATGGGGGACAACGAAGAGATATCGTGTCGTAAGCAAGCTTTGTTTGGGCGTGCAAGCTTTGTTTGGGCGTGTGGGTGCATGCTGCATTCAATGCAGCACTCAGGCCGCATGTTGTACTTGCGATCGGACGCCCCGCACCGACGCGGAGTGTGTCCGTACATGGTGGGCTTGTATGCTATCGGAAATCCTTGTGTAGCCGCAAGCAGCGCGTCAGTATCAGAGAAGTACTTTGCTTTTCTACACTGCTGAGGTTGTACCAATAGGGAAGGCACGGCCCAACGACGATGGGAGCCGAACGCAATGAGTGCCGCAGGGTGTAGTCGGGGTGGAGACAACAGGAGCATCAACGTATGCTTCGCAGCAGCAGCAGGTCTGTCTTTGACAGACCGGCCCACAGGGACCTCGGAACGCTTGGTGATAAGATTAAATCTCCCGTCCGTTGGATGTTCGAAGGGCAGCACGGATACAACGCTGCTGCAGGTACGACAAGAACTCCACACAGCAAGTTGTGGGTCACACTGGTGACTCGCACGAACGGTTGTCAAGGAGTACGCCGTGCTTTTTTCCGACTCGAAATAAGCTCGCTTGCTAGAAACGTACAGAAGCAGTACCCCCCCCCTGCACTTTCGAGACAACTTCGAAACCAACAGAGGAAGCAATAAAGCAGCATCATGTCTGCCTTGAGTAGCATACGTATGCACCGCAGCGACCATGGTCCGTGCCGGAGCCGCACGCCTCGGACAGCCACTTGCTCCCCGTCCCTTCACGTTTGACAACCCACACCCAGACAGAGCAGAAAATGGTAGCCATCTCTCCTGGCCTTCAGTAGTCGCCAGGGACAGAATCAAATCAAAGGAGAGGATGATAATCAACCAACATCCAATCATGATTCGCACACGGGGACACCGCTTCTCACCTACTGCCACTTGCGCGAAGCCAGCCACGGTTCCCGACATGATGTCCTTCAAGGCGCTGCCGCCGCCGCCATCGCCACCCATGATTCCTAGCTCTCCGCTCCTCAAAGTACTGCTGTGGCTGGTAGAGGAAAAGGTAAGGCTTGGATTGGCGGTGGTGAGCAATCGTGTGTGCCTGTCCTGGTGTGGTTTTCGCGTGGCACAAGCAGAGCGGGCAGGTTTTTAGCCAAGGTTCAGGAGAGGCACTACGAAGGATAATTTAAGGGGGGGGGGGGGGGGGGCCCC